ATGGGATGTACTTGTCTGAGATGCGCATGCGTCACAGAGTTAATATTTAATTGTTTTATATCATTATTTGTGGGAACAGAAACCTAAAACTCGTCCTAGTCTCACTTTTCCCCTGCAAAATGAGAATTTGGAAGGCTTGGGCAGACTTACATCAGCTTTTGCAGTGTGTTGGCGATGAAGGAGATTTCACGCACTTATAAGTGGCTACTAAATTCTTTGAAGCTAACATACATTACCAAAGAAGATATTATAGAATCACCCCTCTCACTATTCATGGGCCTGAGGTTGATTAAAGCTATTGGTACGAGGGGACCCTACTGTCTTAGTGTCCAAGGTGCGTGCGCGAGGGTGTAGCCTGACGGATTTGAACTATGGTCGAGAAACACTGGGGAGAGAGCGCGCATTTGAATCCCTGGGTAATAGTCATAATAAATTTCAACCACGTCTTTTTGGATATAAAATGTTTATTTTTGTTTATTTTCTTTTATTCATTTGTAGTAGGTAGCTTTACAGTGAGTTTTTGACGCGCGTGCATTTCTTCCCGCGTTAAAAAAAATCTTCAATCGACCAATGGTTTAATTCTTCCAAATTCAATTTAAACACGTTCAGTCAATTTTTTTCAACAGATTGTTAATTGGACGGAACTTTTGGGTGTTTTCTTTAAATAGTAATGAAAGTTTTTGGGAGAATTAAGTATTTGATCAGTCGAAAACGAGTTATTTTTGTTCTTGTAGAATAAAAGTATTGAAACTTGCTTTTCAGTGCTCTGATTGTTCTTGAAACGCCTGCGATGGTGGAAGAACCCGAGAAGCAACGTTTTTCCTATATTAAAAATAACAATAAAAGAAGAGATTGAATGAATGGTTTTGTGATAGTTAAACGTGTGAATGTACAATTTAGGTAAATGATTTTATGCTTTAATTGAAACGTCAACGATGTTGGGAGAACTCGAGCAAACGTCTTTTTCTATGAAAAAAAGGCAAAAAAACAACAATAAATAAAGACATTGAATAAATGATTTTGTGATAGTTAAAAAAGTGATTACAATAATAAAATAAAATACAATGTGACTTTGACAATTGATAATAAAAGGTAACTATGAATAGATGATTGGACTGGATTATGTTATTGCAACGCATCGTAATCTCTGTGATATATTACATTTTTCCATGATAAGCAACCATCACCTTGGCAACGGTCACGTTATACCATTTTCAATTCTTTCCTTGATCCTTCATAATTTTTCACACCCTCGTAACTTTTCATTAATATTTCAATCACTCATTCTCCCCCCCCCCCCCCCCCCCCCCCTCCCTCCCTTCATCAAAAAACAAACAAACAAACAAAAAGTAATCAAATGGCTCAGTTTATCTCTAAATCGAGTAGGATTACCCGGCCTTTGAACGTGATTGACATATTGTATCCATGGCAACGCACACGAATTATTGGTAAATTCGTTGGATTTTGTCTTACGCTATTGTAGATACAGTAGCAAAAGCACTTCTTGTTAATTAAAACTAATGAAGAGACTGTATAGTTTATGAAAAGACTTAATTGATTTTTTCGAGTGAAAATTTCGAGTAGAGTACACCAGAGTTTCTAGTATTTACTTTATTCTTTAGCGAAAAACTTTTAATTTATTCTGTCAAATATTGTCCAACGTTTGGCTTCGTTAGTTTACCAACATATACTTTTTTATTCATGAGATAGAAGAATTAATCAATATTGACAATCGAAAAATCTATTATAGCAAAAATGTCATCATCATCATCAGCAGCAGCAGCAGCAGTAG